AAGTGAGCTAACCTGGGAATCTGGTATCTGCTCCTGAGGAAGGCCTAGGTGGGCAACGCCCTAAACCAGGGCTGACTCTGGTGCAGGATTAGAGCCTCGGCAAATACATGCTTATGAAGCAATGTGCACCCATGTTTCCCCTCTCCCTGCTGCTACGGCTATAAAGGTTACCACAAAATCTTTCTAGAAATCACCCTTGAGGATGATAAATAAAACTTTATTTTTCTCTCAGAAACTAATCTAATGTCCAAAGTTACTTAGAAAAAAGTTAGAGAAGTTTATATGGCTGTAAGAGAGAAACAACACTGAATGAGCTCAAACTATGTTACCAGGGACAGTGTTACTTTCTTACGTGCATTATGAAATGTTTTTCAGAATATTTTCTGTGGAACGTAGCCCAGAATGATGTGCAAAAAATGGTCTCTTTGAGAAATCCTAAGGACAATATATCCTATGAATAGACTTCCAATATATGTTTGTATATTAAAGGTTCTTATAAGTCCTGCAATAAAGAAACTTGTTTACATTTAACTCAATATATCCCAAAATGCAGTGTATATATTCCAATGGGTGATGCATGAAGTGACTTTAGAAACTGCATAAATATAAGGTTTTACATTTAATAGTTATATATATATATATATTTATTTTAATGTGAGTTAGAAAAATGTAAATAATATAGCTAGAACAGCAAACCTGTGACTGCACGTATATTGTTCAGGATTCATTTATTCATATATTCATTCCACAAATGTTTACCGAGGACCTACTCTGAGCCAAGCAGTATTCTAGATGCTAGGGATACTCAGCAAACAAAATAAGGTCTCTGCTCTCATAGATTTATATTTTAGTGAGGAGGGACAAAAACTCAAACAAATAAGTATGTAATATGTTCAACAGTGAAAAGTTAGGATAAAGAAAAACAGAGTTGGGCAGGGGGATCGAAATGACAGGGGTGGGTGGACACTAAACAGATGGTTTGGTCAGGTAAGACCTCCTAGATAAAGTGACATTTGAGCTGAGACCTAAGTGAAGTGAGTATTTTTGCAGGAAGAACATTCTAGGCAAAGAGAACACAAAATGCAAAGTCCCTGAGGTGGGACTGTGCTTGGTACCTGTGGCATTGTTCAGAGTCCCAGGGCTGCAGATAAGACCCTGAAGGATAGTGCTATTTCCATTGAGATATAATTCAGAAACCATAATATTCACCCCTTTGAAGTATATATTTCTGAGTTTTTTAGTATATTCACAAAGTTGTTCTGCTTCTAGCCAAGATAGAGTAATAGGGATCAGGTTTACTTTCTCATCTGAGGAACTAAAAAGCAGACAAAATATAGGAAACAATGGTTTTCAAGACACCAGACATCAGCCAACTAAGGACAGTGACCCTTGAGAGGTGGGATACAAAATCAGAGAGGGTGTCTATGAGTGACCACCTTATTGCCTTGAGAGAGTTTCCAGGCTGCAGTACAAGGAGGGGAAACCCAGGCATAAAGAAAGTCGTTTGATAACAATCAAAGGGCCACTTCCTCAGAAGGATGTATCAGTCCTAAACTGATAACAGTTTATGCACCTGATCAGTCCCATGCACTTAATAACAGAGTGTTAAAATATATGCAGAAAACCTGAGAGAACTGAAAGGAAAAAATAGGCAAGCCCACAATTATACTCTAAACTTCAACATCCCTCTTTCAGTAATTGGCATAACAAATAGACAGAAAATCAATAAAGAGAGAGAAAACTTACACAACACTATCAACCAACTTGATCTACTTGACTTTCATAGAACACTCCACCCAAAAACAGCAGAAGACACTTTCTTTTCACGTGCACATGGAAGATTTACCAAGACAGATCATGTTCTGGACAATAAAACAAGCCTCGGTAAGTTTTAAAGAATTCAAATAATACACTGTATACGAGGGTACTTCAAAAAGTTCACGGAAAAACAGAATTAAAAGATAATACAAATCTTTCCATGAACTTTTTGAAGACTGCTTGTGTTCTCTAACACAATGGAATTAAAATAGAGACCAGAAACAGAAAGATCTCTGGAAAATTCCTAAATACTTGAAAACTAAAAAATATTCTTCTAAATAACCTATGAGTCAAAGAAAAAAATCAAAAAGGAAATTAGAAAGTATTTTGAACTTAATGAAAATGAAAACACAATATATTAAAATTCATGGGATGCAGCTAAAGGAGTAGTTAGGGGGAATTTATAACACCAAAAGAATATTTTAGAAAAGAAGACATGTCTCAAATCAATGACTTTAAAAAATTAGACCAAGAAGAGAAAATTAAATCCAAAGTCAGCAGACAAGAAGAAATAATAAAGATAAGAGTGATTTTAGAAAAGAAGACATGTCTCAAATCAATGACTTTAAAAAATTAGACCAAGAAGAGAAATTAAATCCAAAGTCAGCAGACAAAAAGAAATAATAAAGGTAAGAGTGAAAAATCAATGGAACCACATGAGAAAATCAATGGATCCAAAAGTTGGTTCCTTGAGAAAAATCAATGACATTGAAAAGTCTCTACAGCCTGATCAGGAAAAAAAGAGAAGCCACAAACTACCAATATTAGGAACAAGAGACGTGATACCACTACAGATCCTATAGATATTAAAAGATAATAAGGAAATATTATAAACAACTTTATTCCAATAAATTTGATAACTTTGATGAACTGAACAACCTTTTAAAAGACATAAACTACCAAAGCTCACTAAAGAATAGAGATAAATAGCCATATCTATTGAAGAAATTTAATTTGTAGTTAAAAACCTTCCTACAAAGAAAACTCCAGGCCCAAATGGCCTTGTTGGTGAATTCTACTAAACATTTAAGGAAGAAATAATAACAACGTTATTATTAAACTCTTCCAGAAAACTGAAGAAAAGGGGATACTTCCCACCTCATTCTATAAGGCCAGCACTACTCTGATACCAAAATCAGACAAAGACATTACAAGAAAACTGCAGACCAATATCCCTCAAGATCATAGACATAAAAATTCTAAGCAAAATTTTAGCACATCAAAGCTAACAGTATATTAAAGGATAATACATCATCACCAAGTGGGGTTTATCCCAGGGATGCAATGTTGATTTAACATTAGAAAAAATCAATGTAATTCACCACATCAACAAACTAAAAAAGAAAAACCATATATGATTATCTCAGTAGACAAAGAAAAGGCATTTGACAAAATCTAACATCCATTCCTGATAAAAACTCTCAGCAAACTAGGAATTGAAAGGAATCTCCAAAAAAACCTATAGCTAACATCATACTTAATGCTGAAAGACTGGAAGCTTCCCTTTTAATTTCAAGAACAAGACACTTGAAAACTGAAATTAAAAAAAAAAATCATTTACAATAACATCAATACAGATGTAGGTATAAATCTGAAAAAATATGTAAAAGACCTATGCACTCAAAACTACCGAAAATTGATGAGAAAAAGTAAAGACCAAAATAAATGGACAGAGATACCATGTTCATGGGTTGGAAGGCTCAACATGGTTAAGATGTCAATTCTCCTCAAATTGATTTACAGTTTCAACACAATCCAAATCAAAATCTAGAATTTTAGAATTTAACTGATTCTAAAAATCAAATGGAAATACCCAGGATCTACATTAGTCAAAACAACTTTGAAAAAGAACAAAGTTGAAGGTTACCTGATTTCAAGACTTATAAAGCTACAGCTATCAAGAGAGTGTGGTATTAGTGTTAAGAAAGACAGATAGATCAAAGAAACAGAATATATGGACAGCTGATTTTCACCAAAGGTACAAAGCAATTCACTGGGAAAAGGACGATCTTTTCAACAAATAATTCCAGTGGAATAGCTGCATATCCATATACAGAAAAATAAACTTCATTCTATATCCCAAACCATATACAAAAATTAGGGAGAGGGAGGGAGGAGGGAGGAATTGGTAACGGGACACGAAAATGAACTACATTGTACATTGATAAAATAAAATAAAATAAAATAAAAAACAAAACAAAACAAAAATTAACTGAGGGTAGATCATAAACCAAAATGCAAAACTTAAAACTATTAAACTTCTAGAAGAACAGGAAAAAACCTTTGTGACTTTGGGCTAGGCAAAGATTTCTTAGACACAACATCAAAAGCACAGTCCATACAAGAGCAAACTGATAAAGAGGACTTCATCAAAATGAAAAACTCTGGTCTTTTAAAGACACTGTTAAGAAAAGGAAAAACAAGCCATGGACTGGAAGAAAATATCTGCTAATCACATATCTGATAGAAGACTTGTATCCCAATGATTTTCAAAGCTCTCCTCCTTGACCGACATTCTAAGATTAATGGGTCATTGTTTAAGAGAGAGACTCAGGCAATAGAAAGTAATAATCACTAAGAATCTACAGCACTGATTCTCTGACTTTAGCATCGCCCAGAAGGGGTGCTAAAACAGGTTGCTGCCTTCCCCCTTCATAATTTCTGAATCAGTAGGGGCCTGAGAATTTCTAATAGGTTCTCTGGTGATGCTGCTGCCTCTGGCCTGACTACCACACTTAGAACTACTAATCTAGACTAATTTACACTAAACTAGAAATACGGTGTCAGATGCAAGATGTTCCCCCGCAAAGAACAATTACCAAATAAACTATGCTTATTAAGAAATATTTGTTTTTCCCTTTTTTATTAGCTGGAGACATGTGTAGCTGTTAATCAGAGATTCTGATCAGCAAGAAATAACAAACATGACTTCACCAAGCTGGCATGATTCTAGCCTTTCCTCTTTGTTGAATACACATTTTGGTTTCCACAAAGCTTTTCAAGCCCTCTGTGAAGTCCTTCCCTGTTCAGAATGCACCCTGGAAACTATACATGGCCTTATACCAACCATCCCATAACAGCAACATGAAGGAAACCATCTTGCCCCACTTAAGTCTGTCAAATTTCCCTGACCCTCCCATCTAATGTCCCACCCTCATGCAGGGCTGCCACCCAGGTCTCACCGTCCAAGATGGCCCACTGATTGTCAATCTCTGTATGTTTCAGGTAGGAGTCTTCGATGGTGGGGTCGTAGTCAGGCACAAAGATCTTCTGGAAAAACTGGATGGTGAGGGCACTCTTGCCCACACCCCCATCCCCCACCACCACCAGCTTGTACGTGGGGAGATTGTCACTGGGGACAGCGCTGGTTGCCATGTTTCTGGTAGGTCACACCTGGGGAGGCAAGACATGTGGAATAAGGCAGGGGCCTTTTTCTTTTAACTTAGGGAAAAATATTCATGGGTTTTCCAATCTTATTATAAAGTAATAAATATTCCCAATTATAGAAAGTCTTGAGAATGAAGGAATGCAAAATAAAATAAAAGTATTACCCCTGGCTCCACCACCCAGAGACAATCACTGTTAAAATGATTTATTCAAACATCATTTATTGAACACCAACTATATGTCAGGCCTCGTCTTGGGGACACAATTACCACCTGTCTTCTTTAACAAGTACAGCCAAAAGCCACATCAAAGAAGCTTTTGGACCACTAAACTCTGCTCTGTACCTGTACAGGTAAACACGAGGATGTTGATCTGAGCAGGGATGGCATGAAAGTTTGCCTTTCACATCATCTCATCAACTGGGATGCAATGTTGAGAGGGATTTAAGGTTGTGTCTAACCGTAGAGAGAAAGGGGGCCATACTGCTCAACACTCCTGAGCTCAGGGACTCTGAGGTCCCTTCCAACTCTCTGAATTCTGTGATTCTGTCTCCTTTCCCTCTGTCTCCTTGCCCTCTATCATGCACAAAGTCAACCTGGAATCTTAGGGGATCTGGTCTACCCTGTTTTAGTTGGGGAGGAGAAAGGGAAGGAGGAGCAGGTGGAAGTTTTGTTTTGATGATGCGGAGTCCAGCGAAGGCAGTGGTTCTCAACCAGAAGCGATTCTGCTCCCCAGGGATATTTGCAACGTCTGGAGATATTTTTGGCTGTCAGATCCGAGGGGGTGCTACTGGTGTAGTCGGCAGAGGCCAGGGATGCCATTAAACATCCAACAATGCACAGGGCAGTCCCCACAACAAAGAATTATCCATCCTAAAATGTCAATAGTGCCAGGCTGAGAAGCCCTCAGCTAAGGAGATCAGGAAGCGGATGAAAATGCAGGACCAGGATTTTAAAAAGTAATGGGCCTTAACAGATAAGGACGGCTGGTGGAGAGGTGACTGCAGAGAAGTGAAGAGTAACCTTTGAAAACAGTGTGACATGGGGGCCGGCCCGGTGGCGCACTGCTACAGTGCGCCACTTGGGAGCGTGGCGGCGCTCCCGCTGAGGGTTCGGATCCCACATACAGACCGGTTCCCGCTCACTGGCTGAGCGAGGTGCGGGCGCAACACCGAGGGTTGTGATCCCGTTGCCGGTCCCGGTCTGGTACGGGCGCGACACTGAGGGTTGCGATCCATTGCCGGACACGAAAAAAGACAAAAAAAAGGAAAAAAAAAAAAAAAAAAGAAAACAGTGTGACAAAGTGACAGGAAGAGAGGCAGGCAGGGTGCATGGAAGGAGCCCTCAGAAAAACAGGAGGGAAACCAGGGTCTGTCATAAGCATGGAAGCCAATAGTTTCCAGGAGGGAGGTTGACAACACCAAATGTTAAACACTGGGTGGGGTGGGGGGTCATCCAAAGAACAATTTGGGGGCTGTGGCCAGGGGTCCAAGTGCTGGCTGCAGACCCTGCCAGAGAGAAGCTGTACCACAGGACATCCCTGGGTTAGCAATAAAATTGACCCTGAACCAAGGGAGTGAAAGATTGATCTACTTCTGTGTAGAAGAAAGGGAAGAATCCCTGTGCGAGTTGCAAGAGGGAAAGGTGTGGTGTGCGTGCGGCAGGGAAACAGGGTCTCAGAGAGAGGTGGGCAGCAGCGTGGCCAGGAGGACGGTGGACTGGGTGTCCTGCGTGCTCCGCTGTGGTGTGGGAAGGCCACTGACCTCTCTGAGCTATTGTTTCCTAATCTATCAGATTGAAGGGCTGGATTAAGTGACTTTTATAGTTATTTTCAGCTCTAAAAGAGCCTCCAATTCTAGATTTTGACAGAAAGGGTGTTAGACACAAATGTGGGTTATGTGGCCACGCTGATTTGCATGGGCTGCAGGCAAGAGTCATTGCAGAATCCTTCACAGTTACTGAAGCCTGATGTTGACATTTAGGACTTCCGTGAAGTGTAGGGGAAGTACAGGCTTGCACAGGCAGTGAGAGTGCAAATCTGTCCAGGCCGGGCTGAGAGTACGCCTACATAAATACATCAAAGCTGAAACAGACATACGCTCTCCCATAGCTCTACCACATGGGAGAATGTATTTTAAGGTGGTAATCAGAGAAGTGTACAAAGACGTTAAGAATGGGGAAAAATGGAAATAAATGTTGGGAGAAAAAACTTAAAGTTTATCTATACAATAGAATACAATATAGCTATTTAAAAGGATGATATTCACTAACCTAGAGAAGGTTTATATTATGTGTGGGAAAAAACAACCGGGCTGCAAATCAGCAAGTACAGGTGACCCCACTTGCAGGAAGGCCCCCATCTGTGAATCTGCATATCCAGGTGTGGATCCAGGCAGCGCCAGGTTTGGCAGGCGGTTGTCTCTGAGGCAGGTTTCAGGGCACTTTCCTTTTCTCAATGTTTCAATTTTCTACAACAGGCATGGATTATATTTGTATACTGGAAAAGCCAAACAGTATTAACATGTTCCCCACAAAATAAAATGTTCAAGCCACCTGAAAATGTTTGATTTCCTCTCATTCAAGTGGGGATTTAAGCTGTAGCCCCAGAACCTGGTTCCAGCATCTCCCTGCACAGATGGGGCTGAGCTAAGGCTTCCGTGAACTGAGCTCTGCCACAGCTGACGGTGCTCCAGAAGGGAGGTGGAGGGTGACAGAATGGGGAGCACTGGGGAAGGGCCAGGTCCCACCCTCGCTTGTCACTCAGGGCAGCTCCGCACTGCCCCTCACTGACAGCTGCTGTCCCGGCCTGGGTGGACAGTGATGCTGGGCTAGGGGTGAAACGTGGTTGCTAGTGAAACAGTCTGTTTCCAAAGCTTCCATTCTCTGCTGGCAGCGACATGAATAAAAAATACTGAGTGGGCAGGGACATATCAGGAAGTCAAACCATTCCTCTTGATTTTCTTCTCAAAAGAAAACAAGAAACCCACTAGTAAATATGACAGAGGATGTGAATCAAACCTTTGAGTAAGAGCTCAGACCACCCACAGCAGAATCACCTGGGGACTTGATAAAAAATGCCCTCTACTTGCCAAAGCAGCTGGCACGAAGCATCGGTGGAAGGCTCCTCCCTGTCGTGGTGCCCTGCACTCAGGGGCTGGATCCCTGGAGGCCACAGGAAGCCAGGTCAGGGTTCCCTTCCCACTTGGGGCTTCCTTCTGACTCTGACTCCATGGACAGGGCTAGATGACATGCTTGACACAAAAGTCAGCCTGGGTCCCCTGTGGTGAGAGGCCTTTCAGTGCTGCCCACAGCTGAGGAGTCGAGTCCTCAGGCTCCTTCACTGGACAGCCAAGGTCTGTCACCAGCTGCCACTGCTGACTCCGGCCGTACCGGTGCCACAGCCCTCGCACTCTACTCTCACCCCTGACCAGCTCTGCATTCTCCCACGGTGCCCCGTGGTCACACTGCATCCTCTGCACACACCAGAACCCCCGGGAGAGCACACACCTCTCTGTGGGTCAGGCCCAGGCCCAGGCCCAGGAGTCGCTTCCCAAAGGAGGCCCTGTGTCCACCCCATGCTTCAAGCCTGTGGTTCCGGGGGCAGAGGCATGTCATGCTTGGAATTGTACACACGTTTACTGTACACAAAAGGGCAGGGACTGCAAATTGTTCCTCTCTGTCCCCCCAGAGCCTGACACAGGACTGGGCACACAGGGGACATTTGCTGAATGAATCAGAGGCTCAACAAGTGGTGTTTGTGAACTACAGACAATCTACTAACCACAGAGCTGTCCCCCACCATGTGAAGGGCTAAGGGGCAACTCTCTCAGCGAGGGGCTGGGACTGTCTTTCCCTCTACCAAGAAGTCGACGAGTCACACAGATAGGACCCTTCTGGAAGCAATTGTGAGCCCCGGAAGAAAGAAGAGGTTGCAAGGGCGTGAGACCCTCTAGGCTCTAGGCCGCATCTTCTCCTGATGGGCATGTTTTCCCACCAAAAAACCCCAACCCTGACCAAATAATGTCTTTGGAAATGAGGAGGGTAATCAAGATGCCAAGAGGCATGTACCACACTCCTATAAAATAAGGTAGTCTTGTGTAGTGCAGAAAAATATTTTTAAAAAAGACATTCAGGCTATGACGAAAGCCACCACAGGAAAAAGGTTGGCTGGCCGTGGTTAAGGATCACAGCACTTACATTCACAGCACCTCTCTCCTTTCCAGCCTTCTCAACTAAAAGGCACCTGAGAGGGCCGGCCCAGTGGCGCACTCGGTAGAGTGTGGCGCTTGGGAGCGCAGTGGCGCTCCCACCGAGGGTTCGGATCCCACATAGAGACCGGTCCGCTCACTGGTTGAGCGTGGTGCGGGCGCGACACCGAGGGTTGCGATTCCGAGGGTTGCGATTCCGTTGCCGGTTGCGGTGCAGGCGCGACACTGAGGGTTGCGATCCCGTTACCGGTCACGAAAAAAGACAAAAAAATAAAATAAAATAAATAAAAGGCACCTTAGAGATCAGTCTAGAATGTTGGTTCTTTATTTTGGGGGATTATGGATATACCCATCTGAGGTGAGAAGGTGGCATAAAGCAGACTTGGGGTTTTCCTTAAAATTTGCCCTCTCGTTTTCTACACTAGATACTCTCCTACTGACCCATCCAGTGACCTTGGGCAAGTTACCTTTCACAGCCGCAATACCTTATTTGTAACATGGGGCTGGTTAGAGAATCACATTTTGCAGGATTGCTCTAAGCATGAAATAAAAATGTATGAGGCCTGCCCAGCTCAGAGAAGGTGCCAAAGGCTCACTCTTGCCTCGCTTGCTTTGTTCCCAAGAGTGAGAGCGTGCGCGCACACACAGACACAGACATACACGGTTCTGCTGCTCTGAGGCACCGAGACTCCCAGCCTCCTTCTCCCCAACTTTACAAGCCCCACTGCCATCTCAGCTCTGCTACAGCCAGATCAAACAGACCTGCGTGGGACGTCACCGTCATTTAGAGCATTGTCTC